TGATAAAAAATGAAGTAACTGATATATCAACATGGAGACTGGGTGTGGCTTTGATATGTGCCAGCTGCACAAACGCAGTTCAGGTCTGGCTGGAAAAAGTTTTATCTAGTGTTCTTATAAGTTGATTTATTAATACATGAGTAATAATAATTGGAAATATGAAAATCCATAATATAAATAAGCTACATCAGTATGTTACCAACAAACCTTCATGCACTGGTTTGACCAGGAATCAGAGAAAGATATCACAGTTTTATCGCACCTGGACCCGAAGGATGAGGTCAAAAACATATGAAAGTACTTACCTGAACGTTCATGACAAGCTTGATGAGGAAGTATCAGATCTGACGGCAAGGAGATAGCTTCTGTGTGACTGCCGTTTTATTACATCACGAACTAGGACAGTCAATGATTGTAAGATCACTGACTGAAAAGAAGTAGCATTCCTTGCTTTTCAAGCTATTAGGTGTGATTGTCTAACAAAATTTATGGATTGCATTTTACGATTACCAATTAGTTATCATAACGTAAGATGAATGAAGTGAGTAGACGTAATATCTAACACATAACCAATTTGCACTATATTGAAAATTATAGCTAGAAGTTCAAAAATGCAATTGAAAGGGCATTGCAACCGTTGCTTTATGAGTTATTGAACAAATATTTTAGAGACATCTGCTAGATATTGAATTATAGCAGCTTGATCATCATAATCTAAAATAGTTTGTTGATCACGAGATTGGCGGACTTAAAGGGTTCAGCAATCCTTGCTTTCTACATTATGGACCAGAGTTTCTCAGTAAGATATATTGAGTGATAGTTGGTTGACTGTCATAAGGTTAGCTGTTCATTTGTTTGAAAAATCAATGGCTGACCAAATTCTCGCCCTCCCTGTCAGACACCCCAGGAACAGGCATATTTCTCGGGTGGTGGTGAAAGTTGCATGAACGAGGACATTTTTCGTCGAATAATTGCCGTCAAGTTCTCGGTCTAAAATTGAGTGCTCAACTCGGTAGTAGTAGTAGTCGGGAAACCCGCAGCAGGAGTAACAGATGTGGTTGTTGTAACTACCTGAAACTGCGAGCGCATAGTAACAAGTCCAAACTTAAAGCAAAAATAAAAATATACGAAAAGTGGGAGGGGTTGGAAAAAGCAACCACCCACAATACAAAAACGCGAAAAAAAAAAGAAATATTAAAGAAAAACAAAGTCTGTAGTGTAAAGGTAATCGTCGACAAATGCCAATCGAAAAGTGATTAACGAGTGCATATGTAGAGAGGGCGCTAATTAGGATAGAGGTTATGTCGCGCATAATTATTTACATGTGGATATGCAGAAGCAGTAGGTTAGTGGTGATCGTTGGAAATTTGCGCCGATAGAGGGCAGTAGTACACGAGAAAAGATATTTTATGAGAGGAGGTAAGATGTTATATCAGAAACATTTAAGGCTGAATTTACGATGTTTTGAATTAAGAACTCTTAAAAACTTAATAAATTTGAAGTATACACTAGTGCAAGATATATCGTATTTACATATTATATTAGTTTTAAGTTTCAATGAATCAATCATAAGTTCATTTTCTGTTCCTTTAAAGAGTTTTAAGCAATTAAATTGTAATACAAACTATTACCATCTAACAGCATATATTAATGCCAATAACAGTGTTCAGAGAACAAATAAAATGATTTTTAATTTTAACACTTAATCTTGTGGACAAATTTCGAATTTATTCTAAACTAGGAATTTGTTTAACTGCTACTGACTACAGTTTAATAAAATTTAGTGCAATCATTTCTCCCACTATAGTGTCATTTTTGTGTGCTCCCCAGTGGCACAGCGGTATGTCTGCGGACTTACAACGCTAGAATCCGGGTTTCGATACCTGTGGTGGGCAGAGCACAGACAGTCCCTTGTGTTGCATTGTGCTTAATTACAAACAAACATTTTTGTGTAGAGAGTGAAAAAGTTTGAAAAATCAACAATGAAGTATAGTGGTTTTTAAATTTTTATTGAGTTAGTTTTGAATATTTTATGGTAAATATAAAATTTCTGAGCACGTCTTAATGAATCAGCAAATAAAAATCTAATGTGATTTGACTCTCTCTTGTAGTCATTTGTCATGATTTTTTTTTCTTTTACGACCTTAATCCCAACTAGTTTGGGGTCGGCTGGTATTTTTATAAGCCAAGGACGTTTACAACCAGGTTGCTGGCCCAGTTGGCAACCCTATAGAACGAGCGAGCATGTTCGGTGATTCGAATTCAAAACTCTCAAACTGTTAGTTGAGTGCCCTAATAACCAGGCCATTGTTGTGATTATTTTGGATAAACGAGAACCAATCTCGATTGCATACGAACTCACAAGACCAAAAAATTCTTGACACCTGGCTCAGGAAACAACAACAACAAAGCTAGGAATTTGCTCTTCTTCTCTCGTGTTCCTGCTAATTCCAGCAATCTGTTGAAGATGTGGATTTAAATACTTCAGAGTTTGGTCACTCAGACCATCTTTTCATTACTCATACTCTCCTGGCTTGTCAACAGCTTTCATAAACGAAGATGACAGGTTACTATGCAACAGTGTAAAGGATATTCCATACATATATGCAGATACTCACTTCTTCCTACAAATTGTAAGAATCAATGATAAAAAAGGATTTCTGCACACAAGTAAATTTCTCAATAACAGCATTATTTCCAACTTACCAATATAAATCTATGCATAGTTCAGTACGACTTGTGATGGTTATACCGAACTGTGTCTAATTACTAAACTGGTCCTTTTCAGCTCGTAATATAGTTATTAGCACAAGTGTATTCAAATTTTCATCTAGCAGTAGTAACTTTTAATACGGATGCCTCTTCCATTTTTCATATCATCTAGTAGATTATTACAGGATGTATGATATCTTTAACAGTTTCAGCTGTGGATGCATTATATCAATGACAGTCAATCTTGCAGTTTGTTTAATAGTAAGTTTTGTAAGTAACAGATGCTGCTGATCAATTGCTCTTTCCCCTGTTCAGTAGTTTTAAATTAGGGATAGCTATGTTTGAACTTTGAGTCTCTGATGTGGTTGTGTAGTCCACGTGCTGCTCTGGTTGAAAATACCAGAATTTATATCACATTTATTTCAAAAAATCCATCCATTACAGGGGATAAGTGTATCGTAGGCACCTTGCATTCTCTATAACTTACCTAGGATGCAACAAGTGATACCCTGCTTATTAAATGTTTACTACTATTTCTTTGGGTTATTAATTTGATACAAGTTGTGTTCAGCAATTTCAACAACTAAACTCTATACATATGAAATATATATATACTAATTTACATATAAATAATGCATTTTGAACCCAAATCTTAATACTTTTTTGGCATCTAGTATACTTTCAAAGTGCCACTTTAGATAAAATATTATTAATAACACCAAGTTGAATTTGAATGTGCACATAAAAATTTGTTCAACAAGCTGATTTTTATAGCTGGATACTAAAATGTACAATATTTCTAATAAACCCAACTATACAGGAACAAAGTTTAAAAAACAAACCCTACCACAGCACCATTTACGTGCATAATTTAACACTACCCAGGATTATTACTATTTTTCAATCTTTAATGTTTGTGCTAAATCTCATACCTTCAAATGATGAATTTGAAATTATTTGTGATAATAAAACAAAGTAATAACTGAAATAGAAACTTCCACAATTATAAAAGTACTATATTGAAGTAATTTTGGAGCCTAACCAAATCATTACAACCCATGTCACCAAATCTGGTTATGCTCTAACAGACAACCATACATCTTGACAACAGCCCTGCAGCAGAGTTTCCACTGAAAAAGGCTCCATTATAAGGCTTTTAGGTCCTCAGCACACCTTTTCTCCCTGCCACTTTCAAAAATCAGAGTGCACGGACACCCATAGGCACTGCATCAGGTGACTTTACTGATATGTGTTTGTATGGAATAGTATGGATACTTGTTGCATTCTATAGTTACTTGAGGTATGCAACAATTAAATGAATATGTCATGTTGCTTTTATAGGTGGGGATCCTTCTTGATTATACTGCACGCTGTTGCCTGGGTCACTTGGATGTTTTTTTCTTATTGAACTTTGTGCTCATGGATCCTCATCTGTTACAATACATTGCACTTTTTTTACCAAGGCTGGGGTAAAATTTACTACTGCTGTCCTTTAGGATGGTCCTGGTGCCCCAAATTCATCCATATTCCTATGTTATCCACTGTCATTAAATACAATGGATATCCCCATCTAATAAATTCTAAATGCCTGTGATTTGAACATGTTTTTATGACCTGAGTGATGAATATTTTGCATTGGAAAGGGCTCTTATACACTCTTCCCAAAAGCAATCAATTTTTGTGGCATCACACTACCTACAAATGCCAAACAATGTTAAAATATAGTTCCAATACATTGCATTCCACCATAACTGATATAATGTTCACCTTCTGATCTTGCAAATTCTCACGTGTATAATGATTTTATAGTATTAATAGACATACTTGAACTTAAAACATCTTGACCAAATGTCAGCCTGTAATTTAAACGTTTAGTTCGAAGTTGTCAAATCCCTTGTTGATTTACATATTCAAAATCTATTCATTATAAAATACTCAACCCTCTGTTGTCAATGCAAAAGACAGACTTCATTGTTATTTAGACAAAATTTAAAATATCAAAATCTGTAATCTCTATTTGTGCAACAATTTATGTTGTGTACAATAATTATTACTTCTATAAAGGAACTTATACTTAGTTCTACCTGTTGAAATGTTTCCAAATGTACATTGAAACATGTAAGAACAAGATCCTTTATAAAATTATTGTACACAAACTAAATCATTGTATCAGTTATTCATAATAACTCGGAAGTTTCAAACCATTATTTGAACTATTTGTTACATAATAAAAATAGTGCACTGTCCTTACAGTACCGGATTTCAATGAATGCCCATGATTCAGCAAATATATTATCTGTTTTTATCATTTGCTGTCTAGCCTGTATTGGAACAACCTTAAAATTTACATTCCAGAAATGCTAATACAGAAACAGTTGAACCTTTCTTTTTAAACAAGATTTAAAGACAGATATTATAGACATTCAAGTATTTCGAGTTGATTTTACAGACAAAGCAATCCTTCAATACTTTTTAATTGCCTGTAAGTATGAACCCTGCTTTAAATACAAACGTGTGTTATACTAATATAACTGTCTTTCTGTAGTAGAAATACCCTTACAATATGAAATATAATTATAGTAAACATACAATAAACACTGGATATTTTAAAGTATATTTTTTCCTTTTAGTGATATAAAAAAATGTCACCTTAAGATACCAATTCCAATAGCATATTACCACATGTCAGACTATTCATTCTTTGTTCTAAATGTTTAAGATATTTATTTGCAAAAGTTACTGCAAGTTAGCCAAAAAGATCACATCAATTATAAAAAAAACTAATATGAATATCCTATTCTTATTAAATATTTATAGCCAACATTATATGTTACAATAACTAAATAGAATCTTTATCATTTCAGATTCAAAGCATCATAATCTCTTTGTAATTATGTTATATAAAATTGCACGAAGTACACACCAGTTATGATATCAAATAATATATTGTGTGTTCACTTTTTGATCTTACATGTTCTTTGTTTGGGTTAGTTTAGTAATTACTTCATGTGTATAATGATATTAATGGACATACTTCAACCAAAAATATCCTGACCACATGTCAGCCTATAATGTAAACTTTTAGCTACAAGTTATTATAATAATGCAGAGTCCAGCTTCTACAGGTAATAAAAATTTCTTTATAAATTTTTACTTTAACTTATCCAACTTTACTTTAAGCAAGTTTTTTCCCCCATATACATATGATTAACAAATTATGTAACATTATATGTGAGGAGAGTGATTTAAGGTCAAAGCAACATTGTTAGTCATCAACTAATTTCAATTTAACCCTCTATTGCACATTGAACATACAGGTGACAAATTGTTTTTGTTGCTTAACACACACACACACAATTGCTTCAGTTCTGTAATGGAGGTAACAGTCTAAATAATTCATGTAATTATTTCTGAAGTTGAGCAATGCAATTTCTAAGTAACATACCCATTTATAATTTACTAAAATATAATTCATGAAAACATTTTTTGTGCAATATAGATCTATTTAAGATAAAAATTCAAAGAAAAAATATTTTTCACTGTATTTTCATAATGTGTACAATAGAGGGTTAAAATCTAAATCTTATATGAAGTTCAATCTTCTAAAATTTGAAAGACAGTCTCACCACCTTCAATGCTGATTTTAAATAAATTAATTTTAATATCAAGAAATCTCAGTTATATCTTTACAGACAATTCATATACTAAGACATAATGGTAATGAAACATCAAAGTAGCCTCCTGGTTAATCTAAGCAGCTCATTTATCCATTTTCTGCCAGAAGCAAAAATTAATATTTTTTTCACACTGTTTTGCATAGAACTCAGAACAGCCTTACCATGATTAAGTCTGCCACATCAGCTCTGACAATGAGCAAAACTAAACAGAAAAATTTCCTTAGATGGTTGTTATAGCTTATTGTGTTTCTTGTAAAACTGTTCAGTGTTTCTATAGAATCATGAGTTACTTTGATGTTTCATTATATACTACTGAATAAAAATCTTTAAGATTAAAGTGTTGAGGTATCCTGAACCTAAACTCTCACATACTAATATAACTTAAAAAGCATCCAATTGATAAATAACCTAATAGGAGAAGAAGACCCAAAATGATGATAAGCTATGATCCAAAACAGTTATTGTTGTACTCAGAAAACACTCATACTTTTTAGAGTAAGTTAGTAATGTTTTCAAAACTAAATGTACTGCAACAAAGCCATTACTTCTGGCTTTAGAAAGGAGTCTTCTTGAATGTGTTTTCCCTCCAACTGTTCTGTAAATCTGAAGTGTAGAATGACGGCGGGCACTAGGTGCAGATCTAACAGTCGTTCTTCATCTTTGGTAAGCTTTTGTCCTCCTGGAGACAGTAGCTCAAATTCCTTTGATGGATCATTCAAATTCTCTGTGATGAAATATTTTACATCTCGAAGCCATTCCATAACAGAAAATGTTCCCTGTGAGCAGATCAATCACAATTAAACAGAACAGCTAATATATATGTATTTATATATAATTACTATTTAACAAAGAGCAGCTTTAATAGATTTCAAAGCATTCTACCAAAAGGCAAAAAAAATTAAAGCAATCATTAAGTAGTATATTTATGCCCACTTAAGTAAGTTTATATTAAATGAAAATCTTTATAAAAAACAGAAACAGTTGTACAAGACATATAAATACTGTCACAAAACATTTCACAATCTTTTAAAAAAATCCTTCTTCAGTAGTGTTCATGTATTTACAGGATCAACACTTATTTATATTTTTAGTAGGAAATGTAAATACACATTGATTCAGTAAATAAAACATGAAAAGAAATTAAGAATGCAACACATAAAGGTAGTTACTACAAAATCAACTAGGACATGTAAAACAATTTCTAAACAAACTATAACTACCATTTTATTTTTGTGTTAATGAACAAGGTAAAATCATTTCATTCTTGTAGTAGTTTAGAGTAAAACCATTGCCCCTTTCATGAAACTTCTTTTTTAAGTTATTTTAAATCTATAGTTCCACTTTTTGTTTAAATTATACATCCAGTTACTTAGGTATGAAATGAATATTTAAAACTTAGGCTTCATTGCAAATCACCAATGACAAGGGTACTGAATGGAGTCTGTAATTAGTCTTAGAGGGTTGTAATAATTAATCTAAGTTTCAAGCCTACTTAATTTTTATTTATAACGCAATTCCCATTTAGGAAAGTGGTGTTTATAGATTCTATTTAAACAGCTCTAATACTGAGTGGCACATCAGAGAAATAATATCAGAATATTCAATTCTTTGATGTTAGAAACAGACCTAACTATTTTCAGAAAAACAAAATTTTTCAGTCACACTAAGTGAAAACAATTACCGAGACAGAGTCATACCTGAAGCAATATTCCATCTGGAAACCGAATTCTAATCAACGTGAATTTGTACTTTCGCAATTCTTTCACCTCATCCCTTTCTTTCATAGATCGAGTTCTTAGTTGTTGGTTGAGCTCAACTTGTCGTTCTCTACATTACAGAATTTGAAAAATGTATATATTTATGAAAGTGAAGTTTATTTTGTGAAATTAAGAAAATAACTTTTTTTAATATCAGAAAATCAATACAGACTATATCAAGACTATATGATACAAACAAAAAAATTCCAAAATTTTTGTTATCAAATAATCTGTGTTAAAAGAAAAATTCCACACTATAATATCTACTTTTATGGGAGGTTTAGGGCAATATATTTGACATTCTGATAGTGTTTTATAAGGAATTATACCTCTTTGTGATTTTTAATATTATTTCCATAAAGTGTCTAAATCATTATGACTTAGAGGACTTGTTGTTGATTGTGTACAAGACTGACCGTCTAAAAATTAAAAAATAATGTAGCATAACAAGTCTAAAAAAAACTGTTTACAGCTATAGTTTATACTTCAAATCAAAATTTTAAGTATGAGGTAAGTGTATCACGAAGTTGAATGAAATAATCCAAGAAAGCATACATTATATTTCATATTTGAGTGCTGCTTTGAGAAAACCACACTGTAGTAACTGCATATGTAGTAACTACATATTCTGCATTAGTAACCAGAGCTGAATCACAAGTTACTCATTTGTTCACAGTTTATGACTCAGAAAAACAAATAAAAAATTAGAAGTACAATCGTGAAATTATTAAAAATATTTTATTTTGATTCAGACATAATTTATAAATCAAAATTATAAAATAATTATTTCTATACAACAAAATATCCTTTTCTACTGTTCTTCAGGAAAAATTCAATATTTTAAACAAAATTCATAATACAATGTAGTTATTTACAGATTGTTTTTGTGATCTTTTTGAATAACATCATATATTAGTTATATATATTCTTCAACTTAATGTAATAATTGTAAATTATTACAAAGAAAGATACTGATAGAGACTAATGATTCAAGATATATATATATATATATTACAAACTCAAGTTTACTTCACATTCAGAAACAAGATGTGATGTAGTTAACTTTCTGGTCTTTTGAAACTGCATTTTGTTTTAATGATAAAAATGCACACTTTGTGATTAAGCAAAAGAAAACAAAAATTATTTTATGTTTGAATCTATCCAACAATTACCTGAGTTCTTGCTCTCTCTTTATTTCATCTTTTGAGAGACTGAAAAAATCATCCGGAAGGTTCACCATTGCTGCTGCTTGAGATGGCATCAACACTCGAAGCCCTCGATCTAGCTCGGGTACAATAGCTTCAGATGTCTGGAGAGCATCTTTCAGCATTCTGAGTGTTTCTAAATCTTCCAATTTGTCTTTTTGGAACACGAGAAAATCTTCTTCACCATTACCATGTGGTAGTTTCTGTTGTTCAAATCCACATGCCATTAAAAATTCCAAAGCTCCCTCGAGACCCGCAATCCTTTCCTGAAACACTTTGTTACTGAGACGAATCTTCTGATATTTTTCTTCTGTTGGGTTTTCAATTATGTTTGTAAGATACTTGGACAATGTTTCTATCCCAAGACTTATCTAAAATAAAAATAAAATACACCATAGTATAAAATTATCATTTAAGAGACTCCATTTATACAAATTTCACACATGTTATTGTAAAATTTTTCCTAGATGTTTAAAAGTACGAGTCAAATAATTTGTTTTTAAGTTTTAAGTAGTATCTTTATACAGTAATAAAAATATGCCATGACTTTATCCAATAGTACAATGAAAAACCATTATATCAATAAAAACATTTTCTGGCAAATTAAATAGACTTAGAATTACAATGCACAAACAGATAATACATCTATTGCTGATATAAAATTACTGAAAATAAGTAAAGTTACATTATAATTGAAATTAACATACTCAAAAATAAAATCTATACAGTTTTAGAAATGCTTAAGGAATTTGAAATACCACACACACACACACACACCAAAAAACTAATTTTTATAACCAGATGAATAAAATTTAACAACACACTTTACTACCATTTGGTGAGATATACAACTGCAGTGCATCAGTGTTTTGGCATACATGTAAATAATATGAATCACAGAGAGTTGTAGATATTAATCACTTAAAACAATGTAGCACTGCCTTGGCCTGAGAAATTGATAATATTCTGCAAGGTGTACTCTATAGGTTGTACTTGGTACAACTTGTTTCCAGTGCTATTTTAAAGCCTTGAAAAATTGTAAATGATTGAAAGTTTTCTATACAATTTATATAAACAAAAGGAACATCAAAATACTTTTGGCATAGTAACATTATATGTTGCAATATGCTTAATTGATTGATTTTTTTATGAAAACTATACAATTTTCAGTCTGTGTTTAAATTTACTGTAACCTGTCAAAATATTTCTGCAGGTACTGTTTTGTGACCTAAGGTTTAAGTTATTGAAATGAATATAGTTTTTTCCACTTCACACACAGTTAAAAATAAGCAAATATGGTTTTGTTGCTATATACTTAATAGCTCAAAAAACTTCAGAGAAAGTTTGCACTTCAAAACATTTATTTCATTGATTCAAGAATGATGCATGTATAAATACAAATAATGGCAATATAAAAACTAAACTAAGAGAAAGTTATATATTTAAAAATCTGTTCTATTTAATTCATCAGTGCATTGGGCAATGTAATAATGACTGTAGTGTGTTAATAATCTTGATTGAAGCATTTTTAGTCTGTTTATCTTCTTCTATTTTTGACATTACTGGACAGTATAAAAATCAACCAAACTACTAGTTGAAACATGTTGCAAACAAAAATGTACAAAAAATATATGTCAATACTACTCGCTTATATTAATCTATCACAAATAAATTGTCAAAAATACACAGATGGCGTGACATTCTTTAGGGTTTACCATATATTTATGTAGTACTATGAGTCACATGATTAACAACTTTGGTATAAATAGTTTTGTGATGGTTGTTTTTTTAGACTTAGCACTCCTGAGGATGACGTGATAAACAGTCTCAGAATAAAGTTTTTAATTGTGTAAGTTAAAAGCATTGATTGTTTGAAAATTTTTAAATTATTTTTACACAAGTTCCTTGAATTTTAACCTTTTATATACATTTATATTTAACTTTAACAATGTATACACACTCTATCACATACTCCTTTTAAAATAAGATTTTTCTACTGGTAACTATAAATAATTATAATTTAATACAAGGGTAGCCAACCTTTTAGTCAATTTTAAATTCTGAATTTTGAGTAAAAAGCCACTCATCCAAAAAAAATCAGTTTTAACCAAAAACCATAGGAATGGGGAAGTAGTTGAGTTCAAGAAGACAAATTAAAAAGCATTATAAATTAAACTAATTAATATATTTCAATAACACTTCATGCATGTACAGAAATTCCATACAAAATGTATGCTTCTTGCCACTTGTGCCCCAGGTTGGCCACCTCTGGTTTAATATTTATTCTTTTATTTCTTTATTTCAAGTAGTATGCTTTACAGTTTAAAGTTTACTTTCAAATGTTTAATTCTTGATACTGGGTCAGTGGATTCCATCGACCTTGTAACCCCAAAATAACAATCAGAGTTTCTATACTATAACTTTTAATATAGTATGTGTACCTTCAAAAAATTTGGCAAGCTTTCAATAAACATTACAAGTCTTCTGGACACAAACAAACCTAATTTTCTAATTAAGTATTCTTACTAAAGATTTATCCATGAATATATATATATATAAGTTAAAATGTTGTCTGCTCAGAATGAAAAAGTGATTTTTATGTTAAGTTTAAGAATACTTTTTATTGATCTAAAAATTTTCAAATTTCATTTGTATAATCTCTTAAACCTTCTAAATAAATATCTAAACTTTTTTTTTACAGTTAAACTTTATAATTTATCTGTTACTTACTCTACCCTAACTCTATATGGATTCAGTTAATTTTGAATTACCTTGTAACCACCATAAAAAATACATAAATTACCCTTTTTTCTTTCTAGAATGACTGCAAAATGTAACAGGACACTGCATTTGTTTATTCTAAATAGCTAAAGGCTCATAACAGCTTATATAAGTCTTTCTACTTAATTTTATTGCCCTTTGAACCATGTTTAACAAATATTTATGCCATAAAAGTTGTAAATCCTTCAGTGAATGCATAGCTCAAGTCACTATATTGAATGACGTCACACACAAGCTGTTCGTGAGTATAGCTAGTGAAGAATTATTCTTGTTATTATTTTTTTATCCTACCTAATCTAACCTAATCAATTTTAATTTTTACATTTTAGTTACTTTTATACCAATAAATACAAAATATAGCACTTACTTATGATCTTATGTTTTTTTTGCTGCTGGTTGCCAATGAAATTTAAGTCTTTTTTTGTTTCTTTATACTGATGATACTAGTAAACTAAGTAATTTCTATTTACTTAAATAATGCACCTATGAACACAGAATAATATTACCCACTAAGCAAATAATGTTCTGTAACTATTATAATTTAACTGGCTTTGTAACTATCATACAAGAGCCTGAAAAGAAATCTATAATCTTCTTGATCTGAATACAGCAAGAGAAACTTTCAAACTGAAGATGAAATAGATGACATTATACTGAGAACAACATAATATAATAAGTCATTGACAGATTAAAACTTTGCCTTTCTATTGGTTATAAGTAATGTATTATAAAACATCAAAGAGAACTATTAGCAATTTGTGAAATAGTGGGTGTGGCATATTGGTCTGATTGTCTAATTTATAAATCCATAAACAAATAAGGTTGAAAATTAAAAATTTGACTTTGCCTTAGAAATATCTATATTATAATGAGTAAATTACTTAAAATTCTGTACTTCAGAGTGAGGTGGTAAACAGATTATAGAAGAAAAAAAACCTTCAGAATTTTAAATATTTCCTTATACGATTAAGAACTTAAAACTTATATAATATTCAACTTTGATTCATTAATCATGCTAAATTTATTAATATACAATGATAAAAAAAAGTAGTTTAATTAAATTTTGAATATAATTTTGTCAAAGGTTGAGACATGTGCACTTTAACCTACCTGTACCAAGAGGGTTAACTGACATCAAAAGAAAATATTTGACAAAAAAAAAATTAGGATGAAAACAAAATGGATAAGGCATTAACAAATAATGTCAGAAAGAGAAAAATTTAAATATAAAAAAAAAAAACGGCACTGCATGTTTAAGTCAAGTGGGTTAATTATCTTTGAATCTTTGGTATTGAACAATGTCACATACTAGTGACGTTTATTTTAAAATTTATTATTATTGAATAATACATAATTGGAATATTTTACATTATCAATATTAGTCTGGATATGTATACAGTTTTGCTCCATTTTAAACTTATTTTCTTTCTTCCTTTCTTACTGAAGTTTTACCAGAGAGCATATAAGAAGACACAGAATCCCTACCTGTGCCTTGTTTTGGTTGCACGTATGAATAATCAAGCATGATGTAAGTCCTCTTTCTTCTGACAGCTGCTCATAAAGGAAATTCTTGATTTTATCTTCAATAGCTTGCTTTGATAAGACCTCAGGACCAATAAGAGGACAGGAATAGTATACACCAGACACTGCAAGAAGTGGAGCAGCCTCCTGTGACACCTATGAAGCAAGTAAGAGCTTCTAATGTTTCGAGTGGAATGCTTTTAATACAAAAACAATCACTTAGGAAACTAATAAATTATTGTGTGTTTTCACAAAATTCTGTCAGCTGCAGGCGTATTATATTCATTTCTTTGTTATGTAAAGCTACTAAGGCTATCTGCTGCTGTCCCTTATCTTGATCTGTTGACTGGAGATAAGAAAATTGGCTAGCAACACTAGTGATATATAAAGTGTAAACTTGCTGTTTTCTATATTGTGTTATGTTTATAATTTATAATTGCACAACTGTCTTCTTTAATGTTGGATAAGTTTTTACATTATATTACATCATAATTTATAATTTGTACCCATTTATTCTTTAATTATAAATCAACTATAAATTTAGTTTTTGTACATTATGTATGTGTTATGTTTGTAGCATCACACTTTATACTTTCTTGAAATTGTTTTCTGTTGGAAGTTACGACAGGCAGTGGCATACTTGAAACTCAAAATTACTAATCACACGGCAAATGCTCATGAAGCAGTATTCTTTATTAACATAGTCATGCCGGCCTTTTAACCTAATTACAAGTGCAAATGTACTTATCAATTTTCAATAAACTGACACTTGCAAATTTTAATGCTACATTAACCATTTTAAAATATTTTAACACATAAATTTGTTTCTATGTTGTGCTTTATATCATATAGAATATTATAAAAACATACTCCATGAATTATCATGTATAAATAAGATGTGATTGTAATATAGCCTTCATGAAGCCAAGGGAAAAAAATGGTTTTAACAGTAACTCCATTGACACTGGAACAAAAAAGTCCCAATCCTTAAAGTTTTGTGCCTTTTCTTTCAAAAATGCATAAATGGCAACCTACATATTAAACAAAAAGTAACCTATAAATTACTTAAAAAAACAGTGCTGAAAATAGGAAGATTAACATCATATTAGAATAGTGTAATGGTTCTCTAACTACTTTTGAAACTGGCACACACACAAACTTGTTTTTTTTTCTTCAATGATGACCACCACATATGGGAGAAGGTATATCATGGTTTGAGGAACACTGTAATAATAATCACTTAAGCAAATATAATCAATTAATTGGCCCATCAATTAATCAAATACCAATAATCACCCAGTTATACTAAGTTGTGATTAAACAAAGCAGGTACAAGAAAAATTACTCTAGTTGGAGTATTTCTCTGTGGAATACAGAATAATAATCTACAAGGAATATTGGGTGCATATGACACATTTCAAATCCATGTGTAGGTGTGTGCACTTAACACCTGAAAGTGCATGCTGGATATTATAGAGTTACAACAGCACACAAAGGTTTGATAAGTGTCTTTTGATGGGAAACTGTCAGTATAATTATATCAAAAGCATATTTATTTTCTTCTTTGCTTAGTATTTTGATATCACTATCTGTTCCTAGCATGAAAAGCGAAACTAGAAGTAATTTTTTTAGTTTTTCTCTTGTGCTCATTTATAAACACATTTAATCTCTCCTATACAATATGTATTGCATTTTCATAGTGTCTTAAACACAATATTTTGTTTATCTAGATATCAGAGATGCGAGTTTGGGTGTTTCATAAGCAAGCGGTATGTTGTGAAGATTGTTTGACTTAAAAATATACAAATTCACCTTAGTTCTCCATTGCATCTTTGATGTAAAAAAAGTAGTATTAAAAACAAAAAGTCAATGTACTGTAATGGTAAAAAATTGTATAAATCAGTGTTCACAAACCATAATATGAGTTGAAAAAAATGCTTAATAATTCATTTTGTCTACTGCCAGCCAAGCATATCATATAATTGTTTTTAGTTAGAAATATCTTCCTTTCAATAGTTTTGGGATTAAGTAAAAATAAAAGAAACTACCCACTTCTTCAGGTCCACCATCCTTGGATCGTTTTTGTGCTTCTAGTTCCAATTCCAGTTCCTTCCTGGCCTGGGCACGAATTGCTGCTAAAGACCTAGAATAAAATATAACAATACAGTTGTATTATCAGATAAGCAACTGTGAGTCTAAACACTGATCTTATACATAGCTAATAGTTCTGTGTTTTATTTTGTTCATAGGTGTATGCAAGTTCTACATTGTGAAGATGCAGTAATATTAAAATTAACCCTTTCGGGCTTGGTATAATATACACGAATTAAGTATTTATACTATAACTTTTAATGCAGTATGTGTATCTTCACAAAATTTAGTAGACTTTTAGTAAAGATTACAAGTCTTTTGTACACAAAAAATCAAATTTTTTTAATGAAGTATGTTATTATAGATTTGTTTGTGTCCATTCAAGCAGTTACTTAGGCCAATATTACCTGATGCAAACAAGGAATAACACAGCAGACGTGTTGGCTAATTGCATTTCAAAATGGTAAAGTGCACCTTTTCTTATTCCACAAAAAACATTTCTTTTCCTGTCACACACCATAATTCAATTGAAGTATAAAACAATAAAGTAAGCTTTCAAAAATCAAATCATAATAATTTTAGAAGTTGTTGTCCAAAAGCACTTTTTCTTATAGCAACATATAACCAAGATGAGTCTAACTTGAGATGCAGGTAATTACATCACCATATCAACAAAGAACGAGAAACATTGATCAGCTAAAATTTGATAAAACTACATTTCTATTCAGATTACCATGACAAACTAGTACTATTTTGTTCAAATAATTATAACTTTCCTCCTGGGGAAAAAACCAGTGCCATATTATACTCAGAAAAACATCAAAAAATTCACAAATACCAATGATTTTGTTGGAAATTCTTTTGCAATCTTCTTACATAAAATTAGGTAACTTTTTATTAAATAAATTTCAAATCTGAAGCAAATATATTTTAATGTGTAGAAAATTGACTACAAGTTTATTTTCCATAACTTCTTTCAATAAAATGATGCAATTTTGCCCTTGATGCTACTGCATCCACCTGGGTATAGAAGAGTTAAGCTATTTATAAAAGGGATTTAGTAAAATATCATTTTTTTTATCATCTTTGTATGATAATCACAAACCTGTCTTGTAACTCATCCAGCTTCACAAAAAGACAGAAGCAATATTGTTCTCATAAGTATGACAAAAAGAGCTGGCTGAAGCTGCTTTGGGAAGTATCGAGAGCCCTTTCAAGATGAAAAACTACCAATAACCCTCAAAAGAAGAGTATTCGACCAATGTGTTTTACCAACCTTGACATATGGATGTCAAACTTGGACACCCACTATGCAGCTTAACTCAACTTATTTTAAAAAACTGGAATAAAAGCACACTAATCAATTTAAACTAATACTCAGAACTGAAAACACAAATTAGCTGTAACATGTCATTCTGAGTCACTGTTGTTTCTTGTAAATTATGCATTGGAAAAATAGTTTCGTACAAAATACACCAAAAATCAACCATTACAAAAAGAGTGTGTGTGAAAGGGTTTAAGTTGCAGTACATAATACGTTGGTATTGTATAACTTACCTTTCATACATTAAGAATGACAATATTGTTTATATACTTTACATCATTAATGTCTCGCATAAAACCTTACACAGCAAACCGTGAAACTACATCTTACCAATTTGGTTCTTGCTGCTTTAGATTCTGTTCAAAACGTGCCAAGGCAGCTGCTCCTGCCCTCTTTGAGCCCTCAGATGGAGCTAACCGAGAATGAGAGGGACCAGCAGTTTTTACCATTTTATTTGTAGCTGAAGTAGACGAGGAGGAACTTGTCATTGTATGGCCTGGTCCAGCCAGCTTGAACTTTGATTCCAATTTCTTCTTCTTAAAAAACTCTTTGATGACAGACATTTTCAACCTTGAATCTCAAAACAACAACTAAATACGAGGACAGTGTTCTTTAGGAAGTTTCAATTCTGTAGCTTCTTTCCTTAAATCATCCAAAGCTTTACTTGAATCTGCAAAAAAATTAGCTGTATAATGAAATTTCAATTTAAACATATGTAAACAATAATAATTTCACATGTGGGGCTTGCACACACAGAGATTACATTTTATAAATGCTGTAATCACACAATTGTGTAGATCCTACTTTTTCAGATACCTCTCCTAAGTTACATACACATGTTTGTATGTCTATATAAAGAGTTCTCTGTCGAATTTCAGAAATGTAGTAAGAATACATTTGAGAGTCAAATTCTGATGATGAAGCTTTGATATCTTTAAAACAAGTGTGTGCGATCATTATGCAATAATTACAAGTCCAATTACACATCATTTAGTCTAAAAGACCAAGTTTATTTCTAGTTACTATTCATCTTCAGAGGTGCAACAAGTAATACATCATGATCAATCATCAATGAACTTACAAACAAGCCACTTGATAATCAAATTAACTGTGTTCGTTTTTTGACTGCAAACTGTGTAGTTATGAAAGCCAGACTAATCAAATGTGAAAAATTAACAGGTTACCTACTTGACAACTCATCCACGAATACATAAATCAATCTGATTGTTCATTTCATTGATATATGCATGACTGACTTATCTGCACAGATAGGAAACTCCCGTGACATCCATGAGTTCAGCTACTCTTTTTACATGGGTCAAGCCAATTTGTAATGTATACTAAGCAAATGTTCATAACACCCACCTTAATTAGTGATTAGTTTAATTAGTGATTACTCTAGTCACTAACAATGTAAAGCACTAAAAGTTAGTTTTTTTCTCTTTTGCATGCATGTGAACCAAAATTTACATTGAGAATGTATTGCAAAGCCTTTTTTTTCATGAACTTGGAAATTTTTGCATGAAATACTTGGAGTTCCAGGCTATCAAGAAACCTGTACACACACAAATTCTACAGTTTCCCCTCTATATTTAATATTTTACTATTAGTTGGTAGTCCTATATTTTAGATGCCAGTTGCCTTTAGTTTTTGTTTTTCTTTATATTGCTTTTGGTATTTATCCAGTCTATATTGCATTCAGTTTTGCTTTTGTAATAATCAGTAGCTTAGGAAATATTTGTTCTGTTTTAGATTTAAATTTTACTGACCCAAGTGTTCAAAAATCAAATTTATTCAGAACAGTATCAAAATATTAAATGAATACCAGACTTGAAATTGTTTTAGGCACAAAAAATTTCACCAAACCTCATATACACTCATAAGGAAGACTGAAAAGCATTCCTTGAGTGTTTCTTTATCAACAGTATTTTAGTATTTTTGATATTAGAGCAGTGGTTCCCATCCTTTTCTCCACCAGACCCCCTTTTATTATCATTTTTCCCCCACAGCCTCCATCTTTTTGAAAGATTCCGCCTACCCAACAAAATGTTTTTATTAACTAATAATTAACTCGTTCTCCCACTTTTCACTGTCAAATAAGAGACATATAACTGAGTGTGCAATTAAAAAAAACATCAGTATTAAAAACTTACTTGTTTAATGAGATGGTATTACCTACGCAGACCCCAGGATGGGAACCACTGTATTAGAGCAATGAAATGGATAAGGTTTTGTGCTTGTTTAATTACATTAACTGTTTAAGTTAATACTAACATTTACTGACTGCAGAGTTAAAGAAGTGCACAGCTGTATGAAATACAGTTAATTTAAGGTCTTATAAGAAATGTTTTGAGACTGAGATGAAACATTTAGCTAAGCAGCAGGTACTGCAAATTTAGGAAGAAATTGCTCAAAAAGTTCTTAAATTGGTTTGGAACTTCTGTAAATATTTCTTTTTTTTGACAAATATGTTAAGAAACAAATTTATATTTATTTATTGAGCTTTTATCAAAGTTAACCTTGGACTATTTTCAGGACTTTCAGTATATATATATATATATATATATATATAT